ATAATCTCAGGTAGAGAACAAAAAAGCTTCCACAATGATAGCTTCACTGTTGATGTTGGATTTGTTCAAATACTTAACTACAGCAGCCCTATTTGCCCAAAAAAGGGACATGTGTTTGTATGTGGGGGAAGTTTAGCCTTCACATATTTACCTACCAACTGGACAAGACTGTGTGTCATGGCAATTGTATTGCCTGATATAGATGTCATCTCTGGTAATGATCCCGTACCCCTTCCCAGTTTAGATTATGTTATGGGCCACACAAAGAGGGGAAGTCCAGTTCATCCGTTTATTAGTGGGGCTAGGAGACACGGCGGCCATGGGGACAGGCACAGCAGGATTGGGAGTAACAGTACATTCTTATGCTAAATTATCTAATCAGCTGATTGATGATGTTCAAACACTGTCTGGTACTATCCAAGATATCCAAGACCAGATAGATTTATTAGCAGAAATAGTCTTGCAAAATAGGAGGGGCTTAGACCTTCTAACAGCAGAGCAGGGAGGGATCTGCTTGGCTTTACAGGAACGCTGCTGCTTCTACACAAGCAAGTCCGGGATTCAAGATAAAATAGACTTCAAGAAGATCTTATTAAGAGGAGAAGAGAGCTATTTGAAAACCATTCTGGAGCGCATGGAATGGAGTACTACCCTACCTTCTCCCCCTATTGGGACCCTTGATTGGACTATTAATACTTTTATCAATAGGACCCTGTCTTTTCTATAGGCTGATGACTTTCATTAAACAACAATTGGATGCCATTAAAATGCAACCCATACAGGTCCATTACCATAGGCTTGAGATGGCCGACAGAGAAAGTTGTGCTGAACTCGAAAGAGTACACTGCGATGATGCCCAATCCGGGTAAAGAGATTTTCTCACCTGGGTGCAATGGACTGGATAGCCAGAGATGGGCAACTAGAGGCTCACATGCGGTACCGACCGCCACCTAAGACAGGAATTGGGCCTTCCGCTGCCCTGCTTTCCTATGACGGGAAAGGTCTGGTTTAGCCCCATGTAAAAGCATCTTGACCCAAGGCAGGCACAGTCCCCTCAAGGAGTTACGGCCTTTGGAGTTAAAGTAAAAAGGGGGACCTGTGGGAAGCCATTAACTGGTATCCATTTTATAATAGCGTCAGCCATTTTCTTAAGTTTCTATTCCCCTGCTGAGTTAAGTTTATGGTCCTTCTCACCTTGCCCATTCCCCGTGCTATGCCCTAGAGGTGACACCTTCCCCGTTGCCTAGATACCTGCTGACCCCTAGAGCTGAGACTTCCTCATTCCTACGCCCCCTATATATACCCAGCACCTCCCCTGAGTAAACAGGACTTGATCAGAATCCAGTCTTGTCCACATTCTTTGTGTCTTTTGTCCCTTCTCATCCCCACTCCCCCTCTAGGGTCCTCGCTGACTAACCTGCGGGTTGGGACACTATCTCACAGAAATTTTTTTTTCCAAGTCTACAATGTCTGATAACTGCCTTTTCCCTTGAGATTTTTGTAAATAAACTATTGTTAACCTAAGACTACCTAATCATATGCTTATGTACTTTATTGTTTGAACCCGGATTTTAGTTTTCAGTATATGCTATCATGTATCATTTATTTATTTATTTATTTATTTATTCCACATCTG